TGGTAGTAGTGGTAGTAGTGGTAGTAGTGGTAGTAGTGGTAGTAGTGGTAGTAGTGGTAGTAGTGGTAGTAGTGGTAGTAGTGGTAGTAGTGGTAGTAGTGGTAGTAGTGGTAGTAGTGGTAGTAGTGGTAGTAGTGGTAGTAGTGGTAGTAGTGGTAGTAGTGGTAGTAGTGGTAGTAGTGGTAGTAGTGGTAGTAGTGGTAGTAGTGGTAGTAGTGGTAGTAGTGGTAGTAGTGGTAGTAGTGGTAGTAGTGGTAGTAGTGGTAGTAGTGGTAGTAGTGGTAGTAGTGGTAGTAGTGGTAGTAGTGGTAGTAGTGGTAGTAGTGGTAGTAGTGGTAGTAGTGGTAGTAGTGGTAGTAGTGGTAGTAGTGGTAGTAGTGGTAGTAGTGGTAGTAGTGGTAGTAGTGGTAGTAGTGGTAGTAGTGGTAGTAGTGGTAGTAGTGGTAGTAGTGGTAGTAGTGGTAGTAGTGGTAGTAGTGGTAGTAGTGGTAGTAGTGGTAGTAGTGGTAGTAGTGGTAGTAGTGGTAGTAGTGGTAGTAGTGGTAGTAGTGGTAGTAGTGGTAGTAGTGGTAGTAGTGGTAGTAGTGGTAGTAGTGGTAGTAGTGGTAGTAGTGGTAGTAGTGGTAGTAGTGGTAGTAGTGGTAGTAGTGGTAGTAGTGGTAGTAGTGGTAGTAGTGGTAGTAGTGGTAGTAGTGGTAGTAGTGGTAGTAGTGGTAGTAGTGGTAGTAGTGGTAGTAGTGGTAGTAGTGGTAGTAGTGGTAGTAGTGGTAGTAGTGGTAGTAGTGGTAGTAGTGGTAGTAGTGGTAGTAGTGGTAGTAGTGGTAGTAGTGGTAGTAGTGGTAGTAGTGGTAGTAGTGGTAGTAGTGGTAGTAGTGGTAGTAGTGGTAGTAGTGGTAGTAGTGGTAGTAGTGGTAGTAGTGGTAGTAGTGGTAGTAGTGGTAGTAGTGGTAGTAGTGGTAGTAGTGGTAGTAGTGGTAGTAGTGGTAGTAGTGGTAGTAGTGGTAGTAGTGGTAGTAGTGGTAGTAGTGGTAGTAGTGGTAGTAGTGGTAGTAGTGGTAGTAGTGGTAGTAGTGGTAGTAGTGGTAGTAGTGGTAGTAGTGGTAGTAGTGGTAGTAGTGGTAGTAGTGGTAGTAGTGGTAGTAGTGGTAGTAGTGGTAGTAGTGGTAGTAGTGGTAGTAGTGGTAGTAGTGGTAGTAGTGGTAGTAGTGGTAGTAGTGGTAGTAGTGGTAGTAGTGGTAGTAGTGGTAGTAGTGGTAGTGGTGGTAATAGTGGTGGTGGTAATAGTAGTGGTAGTAGTGGTAGTAGTGGTGGTAGTAGTAGTAGTAGTAGTAGTAGTAGTAGTAGTAGTAGTAGTAGTAGTAGTAGTAGTAGTAGTAGTAGTAGTAGTAGTAGTAGTAGTAGTAGTAGTAGTAGTTGTTGTTGTTGTTGTTGTTGTTGTTGTTGTTGTTGTTGTTGTTGTTGTTGTTGAAATGGTATAAATAAAACGATAGTAATAGAAGTAGTAGTAGTAGTTATCGTAAAAGTAGTAGTAGTAGTAATAGTAGTAGTAATGATAGGATATGCCGTTCTTCTAGCCATAGCAGCTATAAAGACTTTACATGGTTGCTGACTCGGTCACAATAACTGTTGATTAGCAAGGATAGCGGCCGTTATGTGATTTTGTCAATGTTTTGTTTACATCTGTGGTTGCCGCCGAGCTTTTGTTACGGTTGATAATTTCTTCCCGAGAAGACTCCTGTTTCCGCGAAGAGTTCCAGCAACATTTTACCTTTTTTTTCCTGTTCCTCCTCGCGTCTCCCACTCTTTTGTTACCGCAAAGCGCCGTTCTTTGCTTAGCGGCGACGGGAGGAGCAAATTGGCAGTTCTCGTGAGATCTCCGTGCAGCTAACCATGCTGGCGATGTGTCGACTTCCAGAAGGTTCCCCTGAACGTTATCTTCACCGGGCGGGAGGAACCATCGGAGAGGAACGAACACTGTTATAACAGTCCTCCCTTCCTCCCTCCCTCCTCCCCGAGGCCTTAACCTCTTTCGGAACGTTATGTCATTAGTAGCGTCTCTTTGAGTTATGGGTCCGCCCACCTCCGTTCTCCTGCTCTACGCCCGAGACGCCCACCTCTTGCAACGCAGGCCTTAGGCTCGTTTCCCTCCAGCAGCCTCGGTTTCGTAACATCTCTTTCAGGGAATTAATCGTTGTTTTCAAAGCATTAGCCTTGGGCGACGGTACAATATAGCAATGAATATAATATAGCGGCATAAACCCTTTTACAGCATTAAGATATTGTTTTTAAGGCTATTACAAGGAAACCATTCAAGTCCTGACGTAACGAAGAGTCTGTCAGCTGCTCTACACTCCGTATGTAATTAGTGAACCCGTTAACACAACCACGCGACGCCGTACTGTCAGCACAGTCTTTGCTTCTGCAAGATGCAACGGCGTGTGTGTGTGTGTGTGTGTGTGTGTGTGTGTGTGTGTGTGTGTGTGTGTGTGTGTGTGTGTGTGTGTGTGTGTGTGTGTGTGTGTGTGTGTGTGTGTGTGTTTTCCTCTGTTTGTGTTACATGTGTAAATGTGTAAAGCTTTTACATACACTTTGACCGTGCATGTGCATGAATGTGAATGTCTGAAGTACAGAGCATCTTCAGGTCAAAGACGGCCACTGACATGCCAGCTCGCCCCCTCCCTTTCCTGGAATGCCCCGTTGCTCTTGCCCTCCACCTTCCCCTGTTCGATTGCCGAAATTCATTCTCATTTCTCATTTCTTCCCTCCGTCCGTCCATCCATCCATCCATCTCTCTCTCTCTCTCTCTCTCTCTCTCTCTCTCTCTCTCTCTCTCTCTCTCTCTCTCTCTCTCTCTCTCTCTCTCTCTCTCTCAGTTGAACCCCCGTGGGAACCGTGGCTCGGCGAAGAGGGTGTGACGCGATGCAATAAAGCGGAGTGTGGATGCTGTGGCCGCGCCCGTTATGTTGGGCCACCATGACCCCTCCCCTCCCCCTCCTCCTTCCCCCCCTCCCCCTCCGTTCCCCCTCCCCTCTCGGCCCCTCTTCGCCCCCTCCTCTCCACCTCCTCCTCACAGCATCACTCATTCCCGTTCAGGTGTCTGCCTGCCTGCCTGCTTGCTTGCTTTAGATGTGGGCCATGAGAACCTTCGAGAACGGGATTCCCAAACACGAATTCACGAGCTCTGGCCATCGACTGCGGTGAGACAGAGAACAAAAGCAGAAAACAAACACGATTGTTGGGTTGTATAGGTCGTTAGCTTTATTTGGAGCGCGTTGGTTCCCTCGATAGGGATCTGGTGTTACTATAGTAATAATAATCATCGTATGTTGCTTCCATTCAACTCAAAGGGTCCCTGTTTTTTTATACAAGGCTTTCATTTGACCCACCTGCATTTTATCTTATCATTTCCGCAACTATAGTAGGTCATAATTATCAGGCACAGCGCTCTCATCCCTTTATCCCGTTGTGTACTGTTCCCCATCATTCTGCACTGTGACGTCACGCCTGGGTCGTTCACCCCGCGGCGTTGCCACATATCCCCTGGTGGTCGCGTGCCGTCCCGTTATCTGGGGCAAACCTGGCACTCTTTTCCGAGTCAGGCAATACGATAACCACCAGAGAAGAATCTGGCACACGTTCTTCGCAGCTCATAAAGATGGCACCGGGGTGGCTATGGCAAACCCCCCTTCCATCAGAATTTGGCACTCGAGCACAGTTGACCTGAGACAGATCTTTAAAGTATATCCCTCCCGCTGTCCCCAGCACGTGTGAGGAACCTCGTGATACTCGCATCCACAAAGAGTTTGTGTGGATTCCCCGTCTTTTATTTACTACGGCGTAACTCGGGACTCACTCGCGACTTTCGTTCATTGATGTCCTTTCTGCTACGGAACAAATTAAATAGAGGAGAAGCCTCACTTGTCAAAGGATGACCCTGCATCACTGTGCATATGACTCGTATCTAATTCTTGTTTTGCTCAGCCTCGCGAATATAGGCCACGTGTGAGAAAAGAAATGAGTGACCAGAACAAAGGTGAGGATCTGCACGGGAGGAGCGAGGAGGGCGACAGAGCCGGGGTCACCCGGGCACGGGGCAGCGGGCGTCGTAGCCTAGGGCGTCCCCGCCACCCCGCCCACGGTCACCACCACACATGATCTCGCACAGGGTCGCCTCGCCCTCAATATCAGCCGCCCATTCCACGCCCGGCTTTACGCCTCCCACTCCCTCTCATGTGCTCATGACGCGTCTGTTTTTATTAGAGGATGATTATGTTCCTCCTTGATCAAATTAGCCGAGGCAGGCGCCTTGCGCGGTTTAAAGTCCGAGAACATGATCTATGATTCACCTCGACCAATCTGAAGAGTATCATGTCTTCTCTACAATATCATACTTTGCATCCTAAACCAACATCTTAATCGCAATTAATTGCATTGTGTTGATTAACTGTGTACCCCCTCTCAGTCTAGAAGTCATACTCTACTGAGAACCGAAAAGAAAAGAAAAAAATAGACTTGGTGCCCTTTCCACCCCACCCTCCCCCTCCCTCAATGCCCTCTCGTGCCCTAGTTCGATGCCACCCCATCCCCGCCGATGCTCAACCGTCATGACCTACGAGTAACGGAGGTCCCGGACCTCCCGAGGGACAACGCACCAGCTACGTTTCAGCGAGAAAGAGAGAAGAGAGCGAGAGAGAGAAATATAAAAATAAATAGAGAGATAAATACATATAGATACCTAGTCAGAGGGAGACATACTACATGCAAAACTTTTTAAAAGTCGCCTACACCTTCAATGTACATGAGAGTGAATGATAATGATACGAAATCCAACAATTGATATTCTTTTGACACTCACCATCCCTCGACATGCCCACGGCGATGCACTTCTTGAGCCTGCAGTACTGGCATCGGTTCCTGTTGATGCGAAGGATGGAGCACTGCTGGTTTTTAGTGCAGGGGCGGTACTGGATCTTCTGCTGGATGCTGCGACGGAAGAATCC